CCCTAGAAAATTTGGCACAAAGGAGGGTGCATAGCTTAAGTCCTGTTTAGGATAGCCCCCACTTGAACTCTGCACATTTGCATAAATTTTTACCTACTACTTGTCTCCATCAAAAATATAGTCAATAACTAAAATAAACGATTCACCAGCTATTTGCGGTCAGCTGCAGATTTAGCTTGGCATGATTAGCATCAACAAGGCTTACACGTAAAGAAATAAAGTGGCGGTACCTTTAGCTGCATGGAAATTTGTAGAAATTTCTTAAGAAACCTATCAGCATCATCCTGGTTCAGAGACCGTTCCCCGAGCAGCTACAGATGCTTCGCACTCTTCATGCAATGAGCATACTCTACTGCTGCCTTTCAAGCACGGAGCATAAATACACATAAAACACGTCTGCTATTTCTGAATCATCATTTTCAGCTTTACAATATACATGCAAAACCAGGCGTAATTGTTTGTCCTACTTCTGAAATGGAAAACAGGTTAGAGATGGTAAAATATCGATCCTGCTGTAAATCTCTAGAAGCACCGAGCAATGAGCCCAGCCACGGCACAGGAATGAAATCCAGCACCTGTTAAAACTGCACGAACAAAATACAGAGGTGAAAAATAGCTCTTGCTGGCTTATTCAATGCCATTTACAAATGAGGTAATACTTGTTAAGTGTTGTATCTGACATGCCTTTAACACCCAGAGGAAAGGAATTCTCGTGTTTACACAGGGAATACTTAAATTCATTATTTAATTTTTCAACTACATTAAAATATTTCAGAGTGAGAAAAATCAAAATAGAGCAGTGTTCAGCATGATTTTTCAAAGCTATTTTCCCTCGATTCATGTTAATAATTTACAATGCAGTACTGAACTACCTGCAAGACTTGATTTCAGAGCCGTGTCAGTGCAGAAAACAGCACATCCTGCACTAACCATAATATACTCTTTGTCCTGAGAGATGTCCCTCGGCTTCTTGGAATATCCTCACTGAGCAGGGAATTCACCTCCTGGCTCTAAGGGATTTTAAAATTACAATTACAGAACTATACAGATGTAGCACACAGGGTTGCTCGGCTTGAATACTGCAACATTACAGTTTTCAAGTATTTTTATTTTAGTTCTGGACAGTTCTAGCCAGAAATGCTCAAAGTCAATAGTGACAGTCCTCGTGCACCCTTCTCTATCTCCCCATGCATACTCATGGTTGAAAATATCTGCTCTGAGAATTGATGATTGAAAACATGCATAGAAAATGCACAGATCTCATTTTGTTTCAATGGTGAAGGCTTTTTCCAACAGAAGCGCTGACAGTCGGGGCGAGCTTGGGCTACCTGTGTGACACCAAACAACTACCTGCAGTTTCTGCAGAGCCTAGCTACAGGAGAATGATGGCCTTAATTTCGTCTGTTCCTGCCTTTATTGTTTTTCATTGTATCTTAGAGTTACTCTGCTGTCAATATTTGAAGAAGAGAATCTGGTGTTGATATTGATTTCCTAAAGGCTTTGAATCACTGTCTTCATAATGCATATATTTTAAGGCAAGCGTATGCAAAAGCTGGAGGTGAAGCTGCTTATTTTTATTAAATCAATACAAAACACCTGACTGGCAATTATGATCTGGAATGCACTTTATATAATGTAAAACACATGGTGGACAGAAAAGGAAAACAATTTTCCATCCCACTTTGGTGGCCTTTAGCTCTAATGTCGTGTGCTCCTGGGCTTCTGGTTTGCTTCAGTTCAGCTGTTGTCACTCTTAGGAGATGACCACAGAGCTGACTTCACACTACAGTTAATAACGTGGAGATGTACGATGCCACCTGTCCTATTCAACGACAGCACCACACAGCTACACTGCATTCAGGCAAAAATATATCAATATATCAACTATAATACCTGTTAATCTTCAGGGAGACGCTACAGCGATCTCAGTACAGGTAGTCTAGAAAAAGCATGCAAGCACAGCGTGACTCCCATGCAGCCCTAGCGCAGCTGCGCTCTCCTGCCTGCTGCCCTGGGCCCACGGCGATCTGGGGCAGGCAGGAGGCCAGCGGTCAGCAGCGGGGTGCACAGAACATCCAGCAACAGCAGAAGCCAGCAAAAAGGTCCTAGTGACTCCCCAGTTGTGTTTACTCAAGTACTTCACTCTGTGGTTCCAGAGGAAGACACCAAAAATAAACACAAAAATCTTCAAGGATTTTATTGGTATACTTTTTACTCATTAAAGAGTGAAAAAATCTATTATATGTTTGTTGAGAAAAACATCAGTCTGTATAGGTCAAAAATTGACTGACATCACTCTGGACAAGCATTATTGAGACACACAAAGAAGCTGTTGTGCCTTTAAGCTTATGGTACATTGCAATGCACTAAATGAAAAGCCACTATTATGAGGAGATGTTTATGTCAGTATCTGAAACAAATCTTCTTTTTACTAGAATAATACTGTCTTAAATTGTTAACTGTTGATCAGATAAACAACATGTGATAAAGATCCTATAATCTCTTTTCATAAAATTCATTTTAACCCATTAATGGCGTTACATATTAAATTGTTAGGCCGCTCAATATTATTGAGCTGCAGGAAAGTTTATAACAGTTCTAAATCATATCCTATCCGAGCTCTTACGGAAGCAGTAATGCAAAAACACAGAATTAGATTTTAAGCAGCCAAGAGACCAGACACTAAAATTTTCACAAGAGATGTGTGTCAGTCGCCACCAGGAACTCAAGTCCCCCCCGTTGCTGTTCTTCAGCAAGGAAGCCAATCTGTAGGGCTTTGTGCAAGGAGGAACTAACTGCACTGTTGCAGTCAGACTGCACATTTAGGAAACAGAGAACCTCTGCGGCGCTGCACGGTCAACGCAAAGTGATGCTGGTGACATGCACAGAACGTGCTTTCTTAGTGGTCTGTCCTACGTCAGGCAGGACAATTGAGAAGCAGGAGAAAGGTCCCACCACCACTCCGCCCTTCCACCCGTAACACTGCCCACGTCTAGCACCTCAAGCCCCTGCACAGTGGGGTGCAGCTGGAGCCCCAGCACAGTGGGTGACAGCTCTCCTCTGTGCAGCTCAGGTGCCAGCCCCATAAAGAAACGGCCCCTGGGCAACATCACCAAGATTTTGACCTGCTACTGCCCAGCAGCTCAGACAAAGCATCCGAGTTGCAAGGGAAACAAGCAATCAAGCTCAGCACCACACGCTCAGTGATGTAAGGTACCAGGAAAGCGGTGCCTCTGCAGAAACGTACTTGCTGCATGCCCCATACTAATGTCCTCGCATTAAGCAGCTTTATGTGTGTGCACTGCTGCCATTTGTCCCTTCTCCGTGAGCACTACTGCATTCATCACTATTCAGAGGTAAAGAAGTGCCATTGTAATCTTACTTGTTCCCACTACGCTATTAATACTTCCTCCCCCTACAACTAATGGTGTGTCCAAATCCCAACACTATCTTTGTTTCACAAACTATTGATCTTGGTTCTCCTGTGCACTTCTCTCCCATTCTTGAGAAGAGCTTTTTTTGTTTTATACCATAAATTGGTGCAAATACTAGTATATAATTGTCCATAGATGTCAACATTTAGGACAAAAGCAATAAATACAAGTTTAGAAAGAATGCATTTTTTTTCAGGTGCATTTAACTTCTCATAAATTACATACTTTTGATTAAAGAAAAAAGAAGTTAAAGATATCTCTCTGGATGATATTTATCCTCAGCTGAAGGAATGGAGTTTCATACTAGATCTAAGCAGTGAAATGCTTTCATGGGTTGTTTTGGTAAATATTTTTTACAGAGTTTGGCTATGCACTATAATTCTCCATTTAATTGCTCAAATCACACCTGCATTTATAAAAACGGCAGTTTGAGGAACGTACAATCAGTATTTTCATAGCTACACATACATTTTTCCAGCTGCAGCGCCTGCAACACGACGAGCCCGCTTGCCTCGCCTGCAGGCAGCTCCAGCAGCTCAGGTGCCAGAGTGGAGCGCACAGCAAGCACTGCCCTCCCCGCACGCCACGCACTGCCCATGCCAGACCCCACACACGGCCAAAAGGCCCGGCAAACTAATCTCACATCTGGTTCTTAACTAGCGAGTCATGGAGCAGACACCAAGTGGCAGCCCTGTCAGACGGACAAGAAGGTTGCACCTGGGAAGCCTGCAGTGAATACCTGGGCTCCAGCACTGGCACCCGCTAATGACAAGCTGCCATCAAGACATTCTTCCCATGTGCATTTGAATGAGCTCGAGGTCTCGGCCTCTGCACAAGCCAGCCGGAGTTGAGCTGGGCTCTGCAGCACTTGTGTCAGGAGCTCCACTCCCAGTGCTAGCAGGCAGCTCAAGCCCATGGTGGAAAAAGCACCATGGCCAGGGCGTTCCTTCAGCCTGCTGCGCCTCTCGCCTCACTCCGGGATTCAGGACCCGTGAGGATGGACGAGCCGGGAGCCATGGGGGAACAGAGTCCGCCCAGGACACCCGCTGCGCAGGGGCTGCCCGGGAGCAGCCGTGCAGGCGCTGGAGGCGGCGCCGGTGCAGGTCATGGACGGCAGGTGGGCCTGGGTGTCCCCGGAGGCACCGGCTGCCGCAGCTGGGAGGCCGCCCGGCCGCCAGCACCACCCTGAGCGGACGGCACCACTAATTAGTTTAATGATGCTCAGCCCTACCAGAAAGCAGGCAGTAATTGCATTTAATTTGTATACGTTTTAATTACGGCCCAGCACAGCATCCCCTGGTGCCCTGTCCCCATCAGCCCGCACCTGTAGCAGGGAGAGCTGCGGAGCCCGCAGGGAGCAGCAGCCCTTCAGCCCCAGGAGCGCAGTCCTGGCCGCTGCCGCCACCTCCTCGCCCGCAGCCACAGAGGAGCAGCAGGTTTAGAGCTACTAGAACAGCCCCGGGGCCCACGGCGCAGAGCTGCACAGCCCTCCCCTCCCCAGGCGCAACTGGGAACAATTGCATCATTTAATTTACTGTTGCAATGAGGATATGGCTCATTGGCCCCTCGTTGTTTTGAAGATGGATTTAATTAACCTCCAATGAATCTTGGCAATAAGTGCGGCAGCGTGGAAGCGGAGATGTCAAAACGCCCGGAGAGGAGAGGAGAGGCGGCACTCCCGCGTGCGGGCGCTCCTGCGTGCGGTCGCTGCGCTGCCTCCACGCTAAACTGCCTCCACGCTGCGCCATGGGCCGCGCACGGGGCCCGCAGCACTCACGCACAGACGGGCCGTTGAATAATTCCTAATAGTCACATATATCTTTAATGCAGAAGCCATTTATGGTCACTGGAAAATAAATAATTGCAATTAAGTACACTGTTAAGTAAATATACAGTCCCTTGGGGAAGCAATCTGCATGCTTTTATAAGTCTGGCTACAATATGAAACTCATCACAATGTCTATGAGAATAATTTATAATGAACATTTAGCAGGTGCCTCAGATGGGTTGCTGCAACTTACCTTCATTAATAAAACTGTCCTTATTAGACTGAAGTTTTATGCATTTTAATTTAATGAACCTTTATTACATTTTCATTTTACACCTTACTTTGTTTCTAGCATGTCCTAGAGTCTGTTTAGCTTGTAATAGAGGTTTAAACCTTTATGAGACAAAATTATTTACAATGACCCATTTGAGAAGGTAAAACTGGCCCAGCATTTCAAGCTTATTTCCAGCAGGCATGAAAGCACGATCTTAAGCTGTAAGTTATTAAGGATAACTTACACTTATTATACACTTAATATTAAAATAACTCACATCCAGAATTGCAGGCTTATCTCAAGAATAAAGTGATGCCATTTTTCCGTTGTAAGCCTGGTTTAATACCACTTATCTAGAGTGACTCCCACAGCATCTAGAGTGACTCCCACAGCATTAATACCATGTCTAGAGCGACTCCCACAGCACATAAGGATGGACAGATGAGCAACCTCGCAGAATTACTAAACACAAGATGTGAGTGCTTCTTCTCTTGAAAAATCAGGCTCCAAATCCCCTAAATATCTCCTTAGTTAGGTAAAAAGAGAAAAAGGATATTTTTTATGGTTTCCCTAAGGAATTTATGCAGAAAATGGAGTGAAAGCAAACACGATGAATCATGAGGAGTTTTCGATCTCTCTCTTGGTTATATTCTGAATTTATAGCACTATGGGGATCTCTGATGCAAATATTATACTGATTGGACAAAGAACTCCAATTACTGTAGTCACTGGGACGTGGATTTCCTCCTCACTAATGTAGCCTGGGCTAAGAACATGCTATTTTTCAAGTAGTTTAGGAAGCAACTTTATAACTCTTTAACTAGAATATAAAAGAATTATAAAAAAAATCCTTTGTGATCAGCTAATGCTTTATTTCATGTTTCCTTTACAAGTGTTTCTGTACAGTTTAAGTATGTTACTATGCTCAAACAGGTTTAGAGAACTCAGCTAGCACAATCCCCACTTTATGTACTTTCCAACTAAAACCACATGTTCCGCTCTACTTATGGCCTCAAAACCCCAAAGTACTAGATTATTTCAAATCATTAAAACAGTAAAGAGAATAATTATTAAACTTATAGCTATGCAAATTATAAAATGTTTAAACACTACGCATCATCATGTGGATTTCCTAAAGAAAACTGAGTCATAGCTGTGTGAAATATGACACATATATGACACATACAAGTTTGCTTTCTGAAGATATTCTTAAAATAGATTGTATTAAAGAGACCTGTATTCCAAGGATATCAAAAATGACCTGAAAATACGTCAGAGGTTCCACAGCCACTTCACACTGCCTGATCTGCGCCGAGGAGCTGAGCAGAACCTACAGGAGCCTCCTGGGCTCTGAAGCAAAGGGAGGCAGCCGACACCCTAGATCTGTTCGTAGACCTGCCCATCATCCCTGCTCAGAAACACCAAGATGGATACTAGGGGTTAGACAGGAAAGCAAAAGCATGTGTGCACATGGCTGCTGTAACTGCATATTTCTTGTTATATTTCTGATTTCTTTATGCTATGTCAATATTTTAAGACAATCAAACATTACAATTTCTACTAAATGCCCACTTAAAGTAAACAAACAAACAAAAAGGCACATTTAAAAAGGAATGACTGCTTTGTTTGTAGCAGGAAGAAGATGCAAACCCTACAGGTGACTTCCTGATATGCTCAGAGTATCTTCTGCCAATGGCAGTTAAAATAATTACATATAACATACACAGATCCTCCTACATATTTCAATTTGATGAGACAGCCAGCTAGCGAGCACGGACACCAATACTGCCAGAAGAGAGCACAGGCCTCGTGCTGCCAGAGGACCCACTGCTGTCCTGGGGAGGTCTGCAGGAACAGAAGTAACTGAGTCCCACATCCACACTATAAATTTGAAATACATTTCTGATATTCTTAAAGACTGTAATGACCTATCAGTAGCATCTTTAAAAAAACTATATATATAGAGAAAAACTTCTGGAAAAATTACAAGAGATCATCACCAACACTCAAGAAACCTCACAAATGCATGTTTCTGTCAAACACTGTGACAATACACGTGTCAGAATCACTGCAGACAAAATGATGCAAACGAGAACTCACAGTCCAACAGAGGTAAGAGGTTAGTAATTTTATATATGTTGTGAACATACCCACAACGTGCTGCAGAGAGAAGTGCTGGGAAGCATCTGCAGACTGTGGGCACCTCATAACAATGCCGCATCTCCCCCAAAGCATTTAGTAAAACTTTAAAAAGGCTGGGGCAGCCGTGACTAAAGCAGTAACGAGCCAGGTGCTCACAGGCATGATCTGAACAGTGACACCAATGAGCAGGAGGCCCCGTAGGGGCGACCCAACAGTGAGCGATGTCTGTCCTGCCCTCGAAGGCAGCGAAGGGTTCACCAGGGCTTCGGCCGTGGGACAACACTTGGAGCCCTGTTGTCACAGCAATACTCAGCCTCTACAGGGCACACCAGGTAGCTCCTCTGCTTCGCTGAGCTTTAGGCTTGAGGTGCCTCTGTGCACAACATGACGCCACGTCACGCTCAAGCCACGACTTAGATCAAACCACTGAACCTCCTCAGCATTTGCTAGGCTCATCGTGCCACCTACATCCCAGCACGTTCTCAACGTTTGTATCACCAGGCGCACACTTGTTAATGCACATATGGATCTCAGAGTCACCAGGAGTCTTCACCTGCTTTATTGATCTCCCCTGGATTACTCCAACAACAGTAAAGCAAATTTGCCTAGCAAGGGAATCAATATGACTTTAGATTAAGGCTCCCACAAAATACTTAATAAATTATATATTAATGATTTATTATCTATTAATTATGATTTAATAAGGGCAGTTGGCATCTGACAGCATACTGCACTACAGTGTCTTGATTCAGCATCTGAAACTGATCTCAGCTTTTCTCTTTCAATGACTTGACTAAGAAATCCTTTATAAATACACTTCAGCCTTTGTGTTTGCTTTGGGAAAGTCTATGTTTCCACAGTACATCTATTGCTTATACCATCCTACAGCATCCAAGGATTTTCAGCACATTTGGTCCCAAGAGAGAATTCAAAAGGTCAACAGGAAAAGCAGAGATAAATTCAGTAATACATATGAGGATGACAGCTTGGTGGATAAATCTCTAAATTTCTAGGATTTCAGATCCCACCAGACAGTCAAACGGATGTTTAGTACCAGCCAGCAGTGTGCACCGTCACACGTTTGAAATGCCAGAAGGGATGAGGACATATTTTGGAGTGTCAGGTCCACCTAGGAGCACAGATCATCACTTTGATTTGCTCTGACCATTAGAGAAGTAAATAACTTTGATAGTTTTTTGTCTCCTGCTCTGCCAGGGCCCAGAGCACATGTCCTCGGTCAAGTCACCTTACTCCCTATAGGCTTTGGCAAAATCTCACACCTACAAACTGCCCTTTCTTAAACAGTTTATAAAGTGATTTGGAATCAGATCTTCCCAGAGGAAAGGCACTGACACAACCAAACCATTAGGTCCTATCTGGGATAATTTCTCTTAGAGTTTGTAAGGAACACTACTCTCTCATATTTTACGTTAGAAAATGATCCATCTCCTAAGAGCCTAGACTCCATCCTTAAAACAGTGCTATGCATCTAATATTGACTCACTTATGAATGTCCTGGTGTTATGATGCTGTTATAGACAAACTGACTACACTGTCACCTCTGCATGGTGGACTGCATGGGACAACCATTTCTTCAAGCGCCTGGGTCTTCTAAAATACTAGTTTATGAAATGTCTCAAATGCAAAAGACCATAAAATGTGCTTAACATGACTCTAGCTGCACATATGTAAATTCCAAGTGAAAATTTCTAGACTAACTATAATCACATTAATTAATGTTGTAATTACTTTCTCATTACATGACTATGTAGCTAGGTCAAGTTCTGGTTAATGTGATCATTATTTGTTACATAAAGCAACGGAGAAGACTGTCCATACGATGCATTATTCCAGTACTTTTCCGCTTGTGCAAACACACACCTCCTTTAGGAAAAAGGGGAAAATGAGTTTGATTCATCTTCAAATCACAGCTTTTACCTAACCTTGCATGGTCACGTGCAATAACGCTAACCGGTGTTGGCAAAGCACTCCAAAGATGAGAAGCATTGTTGGTACCCCACCTACCTGCACCCGTACTACCTGTCAGGTAATTCACACCACACGTATCATTTACAGTTAATGAGACTCTTTCATTAAGAGCTAATCACTTTGCAAGTTATCGACACAAATGTAGCAATTGTAATTAAGAAATCAGTAATAAAGAAAGCATTCTCTGCAGATTCAATTCTGCAAACTGCTAGGGAGTCAGAAAGTCCAGAAAGAAACTAGTAGCGCTCTGCACCAACATGGGGTGGAAAAGTTAATTCTGCCAGCACGTGGCTGCTGGAGGTTCTTGGACAGGAGCGTTCTCAGTAAGGCTACTGCAACCCACTTTAGCATTTCCTGGAGGGAGATCCAGCCTGTGACACGCCGACTGCTTGCTACTTGCAGTTTGATTTACAAAAGGAAAACTCTGAGTCTGGAAGATACATGCCCGTCCTCAAGGACAGCAAAGAGACACTACAGCATCACTGAGAATTAAAGAGGGAAAACCAAGAGATTAAATTGGTTTTCTGCCCTGGATATTATTTCTGACCCCACGTTACTTGGAGCAGAATGCTAGCAGTAAAGTCAAGGTAATCTCAACTCATGATGGAAAGGGTTTACTCTATTCCCTTTGGCTTTATACAGATCTTTCACACCAAAATATTAACACTGCAAAGGTCTGTGAAATCCCTGCTGTTTTTGTTTTTGAAGCATGGAACACTACTGCAGAAATTTAGGAATTCTTTTCTTTTTTTCACTGATTACAGATGAGGACCAACATGCACTTGGTTTATGAATAGAAGACTGCGAGATACTATGTGAGCTATAATTAAACAAGGAGTGTCACGGGCATGGCAGGAAGAGAATCTTGCAGGATAGTAAATTAGTCCTTGTTGCAGAAAAATGATAAGCATTTCTCTCTTTCCTTACAAAGATGAGCTGCTTTACTACAATGAAGGCATAAGCATCTATACTGTCATCAGGCAGCCATCTGGCATGGATGGAGACAGCCAGTGGGAGATCCTCCCCCCCACCTCATCTACCAAGGGTGGCTTTAGTGGATTTCCAGCACAGAAATACTTACTTACCTGTCAGACGGTCCTGCTGAAAATAGTTATCCAGGTTCAATATCAAGATTGGTCTGTTAAGTTACTTCTAACTTCTTCACAGGAAAAATATTTGAAAAATAAAAACTGTTTGGCAGAGAGTAGAACTGAAAAAAGTTAAGTCTTACCTACCTCTACTACTGCTTTGGCATCCAGTCTGAAGTTGAAATCTCCAAAGACAAAATATGAAACTTTCTCAAACCGCTGATCTATGATTCTGGGGGGGGGAAAAAAGTCATTCAGCTTTGCATATATTCAAACATGCACATATTTCTTATGTCACTTTAGATATAACTTACATATATTCCCCCAAAACATTTTATTTTTAGGAACTATCTTGGAAATAACTGGGACAATCAAAAGTACCACTTTATTTTGGAAGCATCATCTTGATAAATTAACTGTGTATTTGGGCTGTGCTTCCTTGCTCAGGCAACTCTGTCTCCAGTACAAGTAAAATAACACATTCAATTACCCCTGATCTTGCAATACCTGGTCCCTCATGAGGTCTGGTTCTCTGAAAGACAAGCCCTTTTTGAGAAATCAAGTGTCTGTTGATACCGTAAGCCAACTCCTAAGCTGGGCTTTCTGGACATGGAGCAGAGACTGACTCTCTTTTCCTTGGTCTCTTCCTACTAAAAAGGGAGATGAAGCATTTCTATTTATCTTGCAAATCTTATATTACTAAAAATGTCATATTCTTAGTCTATCGTTAATAACAATTGCTTGGCGCTCCAAAAGACATGCAGTTTCACCTGCTTCTAGGGCTCTCAGCATTTGGAAAACGACTGGGTTAACCCTTAATTTCAAAACAGGAATCACTGCTGCTAATTAATTAAATAATGAGTAGCTGATTAGGGTATAATGTGACTGAACACTAACACATGTGTGTGTAACACACTGAAATGTGACCATTACAGGTGGAAAGGAAATACACAGAACAAATGCACAAAAAGAGTATACTAAAGTGCATACTAAGAAGTAAGAGACAGAATTAAGGCAATACACTCTTCACTTTCTAGGATTATAGAAATGTTTAAGTACTATGATACCCTAAATCCCAGCTGAGACAGAGGCTCCTATGCACAGCTAAGGATTATAAAGCAATGCACAGCTAGGCAGACCTTCTGCAACTGCGCTGCCCAGCTAGGAGGCATTTGTTTTAAATGGCTTTAAATGTTTTAATACGTTACATCCTCTTGGACATTGCAAAGCTATAAAGTAAGGAGGAACTCTAGATTTACAGCGAGACACTGCTGCTCCTCTTAACACATCTTCTTGTGGTTTCAGTCTGCAGCCATCTATTACATAAGGACCATTATGCTATTGAGAAATTAATGTGCATTGGACCTATGCTAGTGATCACCGGAAGCAAATTCTGCTGCAAAGAGTTATCCTCTTCTGGTAGGAAAATCTCCAAATCCTACATTCAGCTGACAAATTATTGCAGGCACTGTTAATAAATACTGTCTACTGTCAAACACTACCAAGCATCAGGCCGACCTGCCGCTCCCAACCTGTACATAACATCACTTTGATTGGTGCCCTCGCGCACGTTGAAGGAAAATGAGAGTTTAAAAGCTAAGCCATTCACACGACCACAATTTGCTAACACTGTAACTGCAAGTTCTTATATACAACTTCCACACGCAAAAAGTTGATTTTGCCGGCTTTAGTGATTCATACCTTAAGTTTTTGCTTTGCTCTGTGCCGATGGCTGCTGCCAAAACCTGAGAGAGATTACAGGAATGACAGCAAGGTCCAGAGACGGCCTCTTAAAGCAAACTGATGTCATGAGGATGGTATCTGTGATTGCATTATGCAAAGACGGATTTTTCGAATAAACAGACTGCTCCAAAAATAGACATTTAAAATGTCTCTTAATTAAATTCACTTGAAAAAACTCAAATAGCTACTGACGAACAAAACACTTGATTAAGTTCTGCTTCTGATCAATCAATTAAAAATCAGTCATTTCATAGCCTTGCACATTACTTGATTTAAACATGATTTGGATACGAAACACCAACTTTAAACTGGCAACTTTAACCAGCTACTTCCCATATATTTTCTGTTATTGCACATTTTAGAAAGAGAGTTTCAGGACAGATTGAGTTAAAATGGTACAAATGTCGCTTCTCAAGAACGATGATTGATGCAGCTTCTGACACAAGAGAAAGGTGGAGAAATTTAAACGCACAGTAAAATTACCAAAGCCAGCATGGAGGTAAATAAAAGCATGTGTGTGGAGATTATATATATATATATATATATGGGCCAACTTACATTGTATGTATATCTATCTATATAAAAATCTATCTACCTGTATAAATCTACTTTAAATCTCACTTTTATTTACAAAACAGGTGTTAAGGCTTAAGCAAAAAAAAAAAAAAGTTCCTCCTCTTTCCACCTTTTAATCCACCAATAAGTAAAACTGGTCAAGTGGACAAGTAAATGCAGAACTGGGAAGACGTTCTATTTAATTTTTACTTGCAAATGAAGCAGAAGGTCTTCAGAACTTGCTTTATTTTACCTTGCCATTTGCCATTACACTAGTACCCTTCCTTTAACCATGAATCACCTAATCCTTTAAAAATGCTGCCATGAATCAGCTGATGGAGCAATACATCTGAATCATATAAAAAGAAAGTGGCCATCCCATGTCACCAACTTTAATTTAATGTTTTTAGTGGGAGGACCAAGTGCTATTTCTTGCAACTTCCATTTGCCATCTATGGGGTTATCCAGAAAGGCTTCAGGGTGCTCTTCCTCCCTGCACAGCTTTTTCCAATAGCTAGTGACAAAACCAGCCACTCTTGGGGAAAATGTCATGATGGTGAAGGAGATAACAGATATTTCACTTCTGGAGTTTTACGTGAAAGAGGAAACCAAGGACCATCAACATTGTCTCGGTGGGCTGTGACCTCTACGGGGTCTGCATTTTGTGTGGACTTGTTAAACTTCAAAGTGTGCTTGTTCAAGGGTCAGAGGACAATGCTTCCTTCTCAGTTCCACTTACGTAGGACTCCTAACTGCATAATCAGGCCTTAACAGTCGTGCTAGGTGCAGCCTGGAACTGGAGAACCGAGCTCTTCGTCCCAGTCGAGGCACACCATCTCAGTCACCTCAGCAGTTTCAAACCAATTCTGCATTTTTAAATGGTGACTTTATGCTGAAAATCTTTTGGGTTGCTTGGATTGCTCTCTAGTAATTTCCAATCTTTGCTGCATTTTGAGGAGAGATAAAATGTCTGCAAAATTTCAAAGAAGACCCTCTTTTCTGGGGATGGATGAGGAGAACTGCAGGGAACCACCGTGACCCCTCGAGGAGCAGGCAGCACAGCTCAGCTGCTGGGACAACCCTGTGCCCATCATGGAGCAGCCGTGGGAAGGGCACAGGAGCAGGAAAACCAGAAGGGAAATCAAGCACATTCTGCTGTAAACGCAGAGACTGGGCTCTGGCCCTGCAACCCAGGAAAGGCTGAGCTACTCATACCTAAGGGCAAAGCCCTAAGTTTGGATGGGATCAGCTGGATAAGAGTCCTGGGAGGACAAGCTTCTGCAGAGCAACTTCAGCCACCTGGGTACCCTGGTCATATTGGGAAACAAACATCTTGAAAACAAGACCTGGTATCAGTGTCTCGTCTCCCACAGGTTCCTGCAAAGGTCAGTCAAGTTCCTGAGGTTGGTCCACACATGCAGCACAGGGCCTTAAAAGGAGAACTTTGGCACTACTGACATGAGGGAAGCCTTTCATAGCTTCACTTTGCAATTAAAGCACCGATGGCACCTGGCTGCGATCACCGATACGTCCTGGCAGGCCCTGGACCGCGCGGCGACATTGGAGGGGCCAGGGCCAGCGCGCGGGTCGTGGGGCAAGCGGCAGAGTGTGATGCAGCGTGACAGGCGGCGCGCGGCCGGGCTGCGGCTCTGCCGCTTTGTCAGGGGGATCAGCCGCATTATGCCTCTAATAGCCATGTCTAATGCAATAACTGGCCGGGTTTTGTCCCGAGCCAAGGTATCAGCACCAGGTCAGAAGGTAACACTCTGTTTACACGATTATTTCCTAAAGCACTTAGCTTCCCCTCAGCATGGAAGCTGGCTTTTCTGCTTGTAAGGGGGCCTAAAGAATTGAGGGAATGGGCAAAATTAGCTACACTGAGCTGGAGCTGAATGGGCTGAGGTGGGAGGTCTGCGGCGGCCGCAGCAGGACACCTTCCTCCGCCGCCCGTGGGGTCGCACAGCCTCGGGCCGGCCCGCGCGCCACCCACGCACCGGCCATGCCCAGCAGCTGCCATGGGGCAAACACGGGAGCGGCCTCAGGGCAAACGGGCCCCTGCAGCGGGACAGGCAGCGGGAGCCAGCAGGGAGGACGCAGGCCGCCTCCTTCCTTGGGAAGGGGCAAGCGAAGGTCAGGCCATATTTTACTCAGCAAGGACATTTTTATAATTTATAACAAATGTGTCTAAGCTAAATTGCAATGATACAAGCACTTGCCTATTGTTTGTGCAAATTTTGGGGGAGCAATTATCTTTGCACAAAATCTATGTTTTTGTGTATTACTCCTGCAAACAAATTAATGGCACAACAGCTGCTTTTGCAAAGGAAATGTGACAGCACCTAATAAAAAAAAAAAGAAAATCCCATGTAACCATGTGGAGAAGACCAACACTTCTCCAGTTAATCCTGTTTACTGTTGAGCCAGGCAGAGCTGAGGGACATTGGTTCTGCTCTGGTAAGGACCCAGCAGTCGCATCGCTGACATCCTCGTCTGCCGACCTGCAGAAGAATTCATCCTTTCGTCTGGCCTGTGAGGTGCTCCAAAGCTGCAGATGGACCAAAACCATGGGCCCAACATCCCAGCAACCTGATACATGTCCCTGATCTACCCGTGCATCACAGTCTCTTGGCTCGCGCTAGGCAGAGGGCACGTTCAACCCATGTCCTCTTGCACGACGTGGGTTGACAAGACAGACAAGAAGCAGGGACGGCCTGGCCATCCCACTATGTGGTAGACAGCTGGTGGGCGGTGGATGACCAGGAATGCCAGGCACACCCTCTGTCCTCTGAGATCCATGGTGCCAGAGGGAATAACAACTCCTGCAGTGACTTCTGGTGGAAAGTCAAGGAACAACTGCAGTAAAGACCACTCCTACTACCTCAACCGTGTGAAGACACTGAACATAGGAACACTGAAAACACTGTTTTGGTGTAT